CAGGGCCATTTCACGAGTGTGTTGGTTACCCGGTTAGACTCAACAAGCGTCTTCAGAGCATCAATATCAATTCCAACATGACGGCCCCTGCCATCACAGTTTTTAAGGCTAAAGTCACCTGAACGAAATTTGCTGAACCATCGTTGACACTTACGAACGTCCAAAACATTTCCATAAACTTCTTTGATATTTTTTGTGGCTCCAGAGGCGTTGTTTCCCTTCTTGTATTCAAACAGCATTACATACCGAATGTGTGTCTCGTCGTGTGCCATCACTATAAGAGATTAGAGTATACTAAACTTTACACATACGTGATGTTTAGGTGGTTCGTTTAACTATTATACTTGATATAATTTTTTTGGGGGGGGGGGGTAATGAAAGTGTTCCAAGATGCGACATTAATTTTTTGACGACCTAATACCTTGAGTCTGCAAAATATATTTATTAGATATAAGGCGTGGTGGGCTTGAACTTTCATATCATTCTCATTCTTTTAGTTATATTTTGTTTCATATGTAAAATTTGCGATTAAAAGTTAAATCTCTTAGACAGTATTTCCCCACTGCTGCACGGGTCCTACACCCACGGATTTCTTTCTCATTAGCATACATTTCACTGATTATGTGCTGAAGTTTGTATCCAAGTTTTATTGTCTGAGGTTAATTTTTTACGCTTTTTTATCTTCTTGTTAGAGGTACCTAGAAGTATATGTCTTCTTCTCAGAGGTACCTATAAATATATATCTTCTTCTCAGAGGTACCTAGAAGTATATATCTTCTTCTCAGAGGTACCTATAAATATATATCTTCTTCTCAGAGGTACCTAGAAGTATATATCTTCTTCTCAGAGGTACCTAGAAGTATATATCTTCTTCTCAGAGGTACCTATAAATATATATCTTCCTGGTCGCTATACTAGTTGTATTTTTCAATCATTTGAGGTAGATTATGTTTTATTTTATGTGCTGTTGTTGTTGTTGTTTTTACATTAACTAGACAAAAGTATGATAGCCAATGGATAACGCCTGTTCACGAGCCTGTTAATTTTCACCTTACTCATAATCAAGTGGATTCAATACCAGCTGACAGGTTTAAAATAGCTTACAAGCGTGGATGCAATTTCGAAAAAAAAATGCAATTAACTCGTAATGAAGACGGTAATAAAAACTAACGACCTAGGATTTTTTTTTTCACTTAATCAACTGAACCTACTGAAGTGAAATTAATGCCAGATACCACTGAATCCTTCAGCTCATCATAAAAGCGTGATAAAAACATAAATGGTTGCGCATGCCCAATATAAGCATATTATCATTTAACAAAACATGGACTAAAGTAATTTGATTTAACTCCTAGGCCTAATATTAGCTTTCAAGCAAATGCACCTTTAAAGAACCTTCCTCCTTTAAGTACAAACGGAGAAAAATGTAAGATATTTGAGTTCCTTTTGCCGATTTTTGTTATCCAATTTTATGTAACTTTCCTATGGTTTATACGTGTAGCGGTATCAAATGATCCACACGTTCATGAAGTAAAGCTCAAAAACACTTATGGGCCTTCTCTTTTATCATGTCAGTATAAATTCTCCTATGATGGTGATTTTTACTTTATTTTTTAATTTAATTTAACACTTTCCTTATCCTAGCAGAAGACTCATTTAGAACGTCTAAAGTTTTTTTCTGTATCTGGTAGGTAAAGTTCACTAAGTATTTTTTACCATATACCATTTAACATTTCCTCTTACATTTCATGACAATTAACGTAATCACAAAGTTAATGATGGAGAGCAAGAACTTACAAAATATTATTATTTTTTACAATAAAATACTTAGGCGTAAACTTTGTATTTTAATAATATACATTAATATCTCTCCATCCTTGGCCACCTTCAAAAGTTTACATAATCCTGATATCTTCCCATTCATGGGCATTGATTAGAAAGAAACGTACAAAAACACCTGACTAGAAAAATGTCATCAATATTTTTTTCTGAACTTAAAAAGTTGCAACTAACTAAGCCTTTTTGTTTTATCTTTGCAGGAGGAAGATTAAAGAAAGGAAGCAGAAAGAACCTCTGGCTGTTCTCACCCAAAATGAAGCCAAAAGGCTTTAATGTTAAATTAAATATATATTTAGAGAACTGTCTTCTAGTGTGTATAATTTGTATCAACTTATAAGTAATGATGCTTAAAATTCTGTCAATAAAGTAGCAATCCTTTAAGCTTGTTGAATGTTGACTTTTATTTATTCCTCCGAGGTTAAAATGTGCGGACTGGATATTTATATCTTGAGCTACTTCTGTGTGCGTAATATAAATTAAGCAATTACTTATTTACTTAAATCTCTCTTCTTTTTTCACGTATTCAGCTACTTAATTTGTTTAATATTGTCTGTCGTCAAAATATATATAATGATACAATTATTATTATTATTACAATAAGCATCCGTTTCCGGGATTGATAATATTGACTTACCAAGCACAGAGATGAGTAAAGAATAAAAAGGTACTTTTAGAATAAACCTAGTCATCAACAATAGCTCTACATAATTAACGGATGATATTGTGCCTGAACCAGTGATTGGCTGTGAGGTATTTCAATAGTATGCTCACTAACAAATCAATAGTACGATATCCGTTTCACAGCCTACTATACACATAGATACAAAAAATAAACCCTTTTGAGAAGAGGAAACGTGGAGGGAATGATAAAGTGGGTTTTTTCTCGTCCGACATCTGTCCTATAGACGATTGAGGAAATTACCATCCTGAATAGGAGTGTATACAAAACACAACTGACTGGTTATTAAAAGTTCATATGGCCTAACAGTACTGTTATAGAAAAATAACATGTTCGAACGTTAAAAAAAAGTCATTCTTCTTTGACCGTCCACGAATATGTTTCTGGTTCCTTCTGGTTACGTCTACTGCTTACAACGCTAAAGGGTTCGGATTCCCGTCCCACCAAACATGCTCGCCCTTTCAGCTGTGGGGGCGTTATAATGTGACAATCAATCCCACTATTCGTTGGTAAAAGAGTAGCCCAAGAGTTGGCGGTGGGTGGTGATGACTAGCTGCCTTCCCTCTAGTCTTACACTGCTAAATTAGAGACGGCTAGCGCAGATAGCCCTCGTGTAGCTTTGCGCGAAATTCAAACCAAACAAACAAACAATGCAACGCTAAAAACCGGGTTTTGATGCCCCTGAAGGGCACAGCAAAGATAGCCTATTGCATATCTTTGTGTTTAACTACAAACAAAACCTTCTGATTCAACGATGCTATAAAACATAGCACACATATATGGAAATCTTTAATAAAAGACAAATGGATAATATCCTAAAGGCCACAAGAGTAAAAGTATATTTGACCAATATAAATTTTTATCATAGTCAAATCCTCACCATCTCTTTTGTTGCATTGTTTGTATTATCGTAGTCAAGTATCAAGTTACAACTCATTAATGACCAGATATGGTGAATAAATAAGTTGACATCTGGACACATAAATCCTTCTTATCTAGAATAGAACTATTTAAATCTGAAAACCAAATTGTCAAGACTGGTAATAAAGCAATAATTAATTTAACTGTCTTTTTGTCATCCTTCCCACACATAAAAAAAGTACGTAACTTATAACAATTTGTTTGTTTCGAATATTATCGCAAAGCTACACAAGAATTATCTTCATTAGCAGTTCCTAATTTGGAGCTGATAAACTAGCTACAGGGAAGACAGCTAGACAACACTACTCACAACCAATGATAAACTAGCTAGAGGGAAGACAGCTAGACAACACTATTCACAACCAATGATAAACTAGTTAGAGGGAAGACAGCTAGATAACACCACTCACAACCAATGATAAACTAGTTAGATGGAAGACAGCTAGATTGGTTGTGAGTAGTGTTGTGATAAACTAGCTAGAGGGAAGACAGCTAGACAACACTACTCACAACCAATGATAAACTAGCTAGAGGGAAGACAGCTAGACAACACTACTCACAACCAATGATAAACTAGCTAGAGGGAAGACTGCTAGACAACACTATTCACAACCAATGATAAACTAGTTAGAGGGAAGACAGCTAGATAACACCACTCACAACCAATGATAAACTAGTTAGATGGAAGACAGCTAGACAACACTACTCACAACCAATGGTAAACTAGTTAGAGGGAAGACAGCTAGATAACACTACTCACAACAATGATAAACTAGCTAGAGGGAAGACAGCTAGACAACACTACTCACAACCAATGATAAACTAGTTAGAGGGAAGACAGCTAGATAACACTACTCACAACAATGATAAACTAGCTAGAGGGAAAACAGCTAGACAACACTACTCACAACCAATGATAAACTAGTTAGAGGGAAGACAGCTAGATAACACTACTCACAACCAATGATAAACTAGCTAGAGGGAAGACAGCTAGATAACACTACTCACAACCAATGATAAACTAGTGAGAGGGA